CTTCAGAGATCTTTCTAGAAAGTATAACTCACTAGCAGTGTAAGAGGTGAGAAAGTCATTTCATAAGCAGTCGGGGAGGTCAATTTCTCTCCTAGCTCCAAGGTCTATGAAAATATAAACTGATCTACTTTAACAGATCTTGTGTTTCTGAAAGAGGTTGGTATTAAGTTGCTTGGCTTTGTGTACTAGGAAAATAGCTGTGATACTAGTTGAAACTTAATGCTGTCTACCACAAGTACAAGGCACTAGTACAAAATGGTCTAAAGCTCTTCAGAAAGTCAAGGCATTCCGCTGTATAAGAAGTTCTTTGATGGAGCTTTTAGTTTAAATCAGGTTCAGGGGTGGTGAAACTAAGCAGAGAGTATAACATTTCCAGTCACACTGGCAGAACCCTCACGATCATCCTAATTCAAAAAGCATACCTAGTAGTTAGCCTAGGAGATATTATCTTATCTGATGTTTGTGCAGGAAGTTCAGTGGGTGACCTGCCCTACAAATGAGCCTTTTAGAGAGAGACACAATCCTAATGTAACGGAAAGTGCTGTTACGTTCCTATCAGACAGGTGAATCCAATGTCTGACCTTTTCTGTGTTTGATGTCTCGGCACACATGACTGCAGGGCTGCGCTGGCTACAAATGATGCTCTTCGATCTCCTTCCAGTAACCTCAAAAGAAAATATTGTTGAACACGTTTGCCACAGATACAAACCAAGTCTAAAAAGAAAGAAGTGAACAGGATAAAAGAAGACTTATCTTTTTCCGACTGTGTAAAAAGCCAGCACAGAGACAGAAACCCCTGTAGCCACTACATACATTGGTGAAATGAGCCTTAGGCTAAGTTGCAAGGGATTTCTAGAGTGGCAGTTCTCAAGCTGTGGGTCATGACCCCTTTGGAGGTCGAAGGACCCTTTCACAGGGGTCACCCGGTTGATAACAGTAACAAAATAATTTTTTGTTTCATTGCAAATAATTGTATGGGTGGGAGGGGGTCACCACAACATGAAGAACTGTACTCAAGGGTCAAGGCGTTAGGAAGGTTGAGAACCACTGTTTTAGAGGGAAAGCATTTTGATATCGTCAACGGTGATACCTGCATGACTTCATGCCTCAGTTCCCTGGGAGATGGGCTTGTGGTTCTAGACAAATAAACAGGCTTTCCAGTTTACCTAACTGATTGCCCCTCCAGTAATCAAATATCTCCCCATTCATGGAAACAGAAACGTACTCAGAACTCAAGAGTTCTCAATTGGAAAAGCATCCTGGCATGAAACGGCAGGCAAGAGCTTTGGCTTTGTTTGGCAACTCTATTGCAAAGAGCATAAACAGCTTACACATCTGGACTGAGATATCTTTGTACCTAACAGAAATGGGAACTATTTCCTAAAACCACATAAAAATATCCAGGTTCAATATCCCTGACTGCCCTAAACATCCATTTTGAATGAAATCTTGCTCTTATTAGGAAGTGTCCTACACATGAATCATTGAAACCCCCCTTTAAAAAAAAGAAACGAACATTTTTATTTACATAATCCACATATTATATGTTTCAATAGTTTAAACATTAAAAGAGTTGTGTCATCGTCACTACAATCAATTTTAGAATCTTTTCTTCTTTCT